AATCTATGTTTAAATGATTGTGGCTTGGACTTGGGTGCTAGCAGCTGAGATGGGGAGGAGTGCTTGGATTCTGGACATATTTTGAGAGTAGAGCCAACAGAATTTGCTACTGGAGGCAATGTGGAGGGTGTGCGAGTGAGAGGTATCAGGGATGACTCTTAAGACTTTTGGTCTGAGCAACTGTGGGATGGAGTCCCAAGTCCTAGGTTTTAAGTTCTGACTCTGGCACTTCTTGCTGTGTGGCTAACAAACTATGTGCTTTACCTCTCTGGGCTCCACTTGCTCATCTCTAAGTGGGCTGAAGCACCTGCTGTGGTTTCCCTGGAAGGGGATGTTGTAAGGCTTAACTCAAAGAAAAGATGAAAAGCTCCAGGAATGGATTAAAACTCTAGATTAGGGTGCAGATCAATCATAAAAAACATTGAGAGCCTAGAATAGCTCAATTCAGGCAGCCATATGCTTAGCTAGTCCCTTGGGACTGAGGTGAGACTACATTAGGATGTTTTTAAATCGACCAAATACAGAGCCCTGTACTGGGTGCCCTGTGTACAGATGAAGAAGAGTGTGCAGTGCACCCCTGGAGGGGGCCCTGGAGTCCGAGTTATAACCAGGGCAACTTTAACTGGAATCTCATGGAGGACAAGCCTCAAGGCTCCTCCCCTGCAGGGCCCCTTCCAAGGCTTGTATGTAATTTTGAATTTTTAATACTGTATTCTTTTGTTTTTTTGTAATATTTTTTATTAAGGTGTCATTGACATACACTCATGAAGGTTTCACATGAAAAACAATGTGGTAACTACATTCATCCATGTTATCAAGTCCCCCCCATGCCCCATTGCAGTCACTGTCCATCAGTGTAGTAAAATGCCACAGAGTCACTATTTTGCCTTTTCTGTGCTACACAGTCTTCCCTATGATCCCCCCCACACCATGTGTGCCAATCATAATTAATACTGTATTCTTAAAGAAGACCCCCAAAACTATAGCAATGTCAGGCCCTACGAAACCTAGTCTACCTGTGGCTGTAATAACCAGAGCTACACGAGTACTAGCTGTGTGCCAGGTACTCTGCTCGGTGCTTTACACACAGCTCATTAAATCCCCAGAAACGTCAACCACAGTCATTTTACAAAGGTGGAAAATAAGGCTCAGAGAAGTGAAGTGACATGCCTGAGCTCACACAGCTTGGAGGAGGCAGAGCTAGGGTTTTAGTGCTTATACCCTTAACCACCGGGCTGCCCTCCCCCAAGCAGACTCTCTCCTGTCCTGCCTGGGCTGCCTCTGGCGGCTCCCTCCCCTTGCTGAGTGAGCCTTAGGTTCACCACCCATCCGTTGACTGAGACCTCAGACCTCACAGTACTCTGTAAAATGAAATGGTAGGCACTTGTGAGAGACCCCTACCTTTTAAAGTTGATGGGTTTGTGACCACAAATAAGAGCAACAGAAGGCATTTTGGGGTGGAACAGGCGGTGCCTGCCTCTTTCCCTTAGCTGGTTCGGTCACCACTCAGCCCAGCCGCGCTCCTACCCCGACACACACCTCTTTAAACCAGCCCTCTCCATTCACAGGGTGCAGATAGGCGTCAAGACCCATGGAGGAGCCTTCAAAGGCTTCCAGTTCCTCAGCATCCAGCCTGTTCCTGATTCAGTTCTAACCAGTTCCTGCCCTCTGGCTTTGTCTCCCTGTTCCCCAGCCTGTTCCTGCCCTTCTCCCATGTCCACTTCAGCTTGGCTTGTTACAGCATTATCATCATTTTATGATTTATTTTTAAGAACTCATTTACATGATTCCAAATTCAGAAGACACCAAAGGGTATACAATGAAACATTTTCCTCTTACCCTTCCTCCCAGCCTCCAAGTTCCCCTCCCTGGGGGTAACCCAATGTTTCCGTCTCTTCAGTTCCCTTCCAAAGATATGTGATGCATGTTTGAACATATATACACACACACACACATGTCCATTACACATACATGTTACGTATGCATTCATATACACATATAAATTATGGTATATATTGTTTTGTTCATGTGGTAGCATAGGATATATGCTTTTAAGAACTTTTTCTCCCACTTATATTTTATTCCATCTCAGTACATAAGGAATATTATTACCCTTTTTCCTAGTACTACCTAGTTTTTGATTGTGTAGTTGTGTCACAGTTTAGCCATTCCCCTATTTCTAGGTATTTAGACTTCAGTCTTTTACTATTACAAACAGTGCTGCAATGAATAATTGTATACATTCCTCATACTGCACATGTGTGAATACATCTGTAAGAGAACTTCATAGAAAGGTAATTTCTGAGTCAAAGGATGTATACATTTTTTATGATAGGTATTACCAGTTGCCTTCCTACCAATTTATGGGTAGCACCAATTTAAATTCCCACCACTGACGTATGAGAGGGTCTATTTCATCATAACCTCACCAACTCAGTGCACCCACCATTTTGGTCTTTGCCAATCTGATAGGGAAAAAATGTCTCTTAGTAATTCTAATTTGCATTTATTTTGCTATGAATGAGGTCGAGCATCTTTTAATATGTTTTAATATTCTTAAGAACTGTTTGTGAACTGTCTGTTCCTATCTTTTATCTGGTTTCCTATTGGGTTATTGGTCTTTGTATTGATTTGTAGGTGATCTTTATATATTAAGGTAAATTAGTTCTTCATTAGAAAATTATAGGACTGTTCTTCATTATAGAATTACAGAATTCCCTACCAATGTTGACTCGTTGCTAAACCTAATAAGCAGATCTTCACCCATCAACTTGCTTTTTATCTGCCAACTGATCTTGATTTGCCCATTTGATCTAAATTCCCAGGCTTCACCTCAGCTTTTACCTTACCAATCTTTCTACCTCTGGCCCACCACCCAAGGAGGATGAGAGGGAGGCATGGCCAGTCCGGAAGCAGAGCTGAGAACCTGCTCCCTGGTTCCCCCACCTGAAATGGCTTGAGCTGAGCTAGATAAGTTCAGAGCCACTTACCTGAGAGCTGGCTGGCCATCCTTCGGAGGGTGACTGGAGAAGGCCTCGGGGCTGGGCCCTCCTCCTCCAGCCCATCCATCTTTCTCTGCAGTTCGGGGGCTGATGCCATGCCCAGTGGGTTGTTAATGGTGAAGGTGCTGGCGTACCGCTCCAGAGGGTCATCTAGAGAGGCTACAATGCCCTTCTCCCACAGGCGGTACAACATGAGGACTGGAAAGATCTTAGAGATGCTGGAGATCCTGGGCAGTGTTGGGTGCATAAGGGTGCAGAGGGCATGCTGTTGACCCCATAGCCCACCTCTACACTGGGTCCCCAGCTTCCAACTTTCTGCAACTTTGTTCTAGGAAAGCAGTGAGTCCACCCTCATTCAGCATCTCAGATAGAAATCCACCAGCCTTGGGATGCTTGAGAACCTACCAGAGGCAGTAAGGGACTGGGCTGGATGGACACTCTTGAGTACCTGCCCCGTACCAGGCTCTTCACCAGGCCCTTCCCATTCTGGGACGGACCTGCGGTGGGATCATATCTCTGCCTCTCACTAGCTGAGTGGTCTTGGGCAAGAACTAGAAATTCAGTTTCATTGTCTCTTTCACAGGTTGTAGAAAAGATTGAATGAGATTGGGCATGTAAAGTGCTTGGCAACATACCTGGAGATAGTAAGTGCTTGATAAGTGACAGCAAATGTAATTGTTGGCCCCAAGCCTGGCACACAGCAGGGACAGTGTGAATGGAACCCCTGTAATCCTTACAGTATCTCTGGAAGAGAATGTGTTTACTTTGCACTGTGAGCTTTAAGGATCTTTCAGGCAGCACCCAGGGGGAGAGTATGCAGCAGAAGGTCCCAGATTGCTTCCATCTAGGCCACTGTTATCAACTGACAGAGGCCTGGGTCAAGGGCCCAGGAACTGGTTAGGGTTCCTTTGTGGCATATGGAAGCAGAGGTGGGAAAGAATGGCACATAAGTCTTTTCTGGTTAGGGAGGTTTGAAGCTAAGGGCTCTCCAGAAGGGATTCCTTCTTGACCTATTAACTCTTTGTTGTGATGTTGGGCAATCACTGGCCCTCTCTGGACCTCAGTCTCCTCATCTATAAAATTATCCGGACTTAATAAAGGGTCCTGGCAGCTTCGACCCCCAGTCACAAGTCTCTTGAGTCCCCCTACCTCTTAAGTCCCCCTTGTCCTCCCATCCCTGTCCCCTTCCCAGGACCCTGGAGGTCACCCGGCTGACCGGTACATGGTGTACTCATTGGGGGGCCCAGAAGCCGGGTCTGAGCCATTCTTCTTCCCAAAGTTCCCCGTCCAGAGCACGGTGTCATTGTGGATGACAACTGCAGACATGGCTGCCAGGCCTGGGGCTGACAGTGCCTGGCGCAGGAGCCTGTCCACCTTGGAGGAGGAGAGCAGGAGGCTCAGAGTGCGGGCACAGACACACCCCACTTGTCGTTCTGCACACCCTGCCCATCCCACGCCACACTGCACACAGCACCCTTGCCTGCTCCCCCCACCCCCCACCAACCGTTGCTGTAGAAACACACTGAGCCTCCAGACCTCAGGTTCTTAAACCATTCCCCACGGTGGGGGAGGCCCCCCCTGGCTGCTGCCAGGGCCGCTCCTCTGGATTTGTTTAATCCATAGGGCTTCCTCATGTGATTTTTGTTCAAAGAAACATTTCTTTAGTAAAATATAAAAGGAGAAGGGGTCTAAACTACTGATCTAGTGGAGCCCTGGTCTGACACCCTAGAAAATAGCCAATAGGCCTAGTCTGCACCCCTCCCAGTATTGGGAAATTCACTATTTATAGACAAGATTTTTTGAAACATTTATTGAAAAGGCCTCATTATTTTCAAAGACGAAGTATAATGATGGTGATGACAGCTAACGTTCGTTGAACATTTAGAATATACTGGGGACAACAGAAAGTGATTCTCATACATTGTCTCATTTAATTATCATAACACGCTAGTGCTGATTTCTCCCCATTTTACAGATGAGAAAATTCCATCTGTGAGATAGGAAGTGACTTGCCAAGGGGCTAATGGTTCTGGAATCAGGATTAGAAGCCCATGCCAACACCAGCCCTAGTTCCTAATTAACTGCCAGAGGACCTGCCTGAGCGATTTCATGTATCCTGAATTGAGCTCTGCCAACCTATGGTTTCCACCTCTGCACTAACTTTGCCTCTCTCAGCCTCAGTTTCCTCCTCTGCAGATAGGGATACAAGAGGTATCCATGGTTAGAACATTCCAGTGCGCACCAGAAGGCAGCTATGGTTGCTATTATTGCTTTTTTTGTTTAATTACTACACCCCTGGGAACCACACAGCAGCCTTCTGCTCGCTCTTCACTGAAGCTCTTCCCGTGTCTGCAGTCAGCGATTGTCTCTCTCTGCACTGGTCTACGCCTTCTCTTATGTGGACGCATCTCCCTCCTTCCCTTCAACTGTCCGTTGGACAACCCACATGCTGCTGCTCATAACACTTCCAATCCTATTGCATTTGTCTGTGCGTCTCCTGAGGGAAGTGACCCAAGCACGTGGGGTCTGATCAGCATGGAGCAGAGCTGGCTGACATCGCCCTCTAGTGTTAAGCCATCCTGCCATGGTAAAAGCAGTGTTGTAGGGTGTGTGTTTTTTATTGTATTGCAGTAGCTTCTGTGATATGGGCCCTGTCATTACTTCCATCTCATCTCTCCCCCAACCAGACTGACTTCCCTCATAGATCTCTGTAAGTACCTTGGACTCACTCTGCTGCCTCTGGGTCTTTGCACATGCTGGTCCCTCTATCTGGAGCATATCCTTCACTCCCTCCAGCTCCTTATGATAAAACATGCATATCATCTGGGTATCTCCTACTAGTCCACCTCTCAGTTTAGACACCACTTCCTCCAGGACCCTTCCCTGACCCCAAGGCCCTTTCCTTTGTGCCTCCACAGGCTCCTAAGCTTTCTCTATCAACACTGTTATGCCTGTGTTATAAATGTTTATTGTCTTGACTATTCCCTCACTCCTGGACTATAGCTTGTTGAGAGCAGGATAGCATCTTCCTGCCAAACCCCCTGGTGCCTAGCACAGAGTGGGGTTCAAGAACTGCATGTTAGAGAGTATGCCTTCCCCTTCATCACCCAGGCCTCGTCCACACACCCAATTCCCTCATGGATCTTCACTGACCTTTTCCAGGGCCTTCTTCAACACGGGGAGGGGGTGGGCCAGAGGCACAGGCTCAGGGTGCTGGGGACACATTCTCACAGGGGCAGAGGTCACCTCTGGTCCCAAGGAGTCTGGAGGGAACATCACTTGGTGAGTGGGGGACAGAGATCAGGACAGAAGCCTAAGGGTCATGCTAGAGGAGGTGGGAAGGTGGCAGTAAAGGCCAGAGCCATGCCTCAGGCCAGCCCTCCCAGCCTTACCAGGAGCAGGTAGCCATGGGCAGCAAGGGGACAGGCAGAGTGCTTTCACCTACTGCTTGGCCATTAAGCTGCCAATTAGGCCAAGGTTCCCATTGGCACCCTTTCTCCATTGCACAACTGACTTCCTCCCTCCTTGTGGTCAGCCGACTTAGACTTAAGTTCTAGCTCCTTGAGGCAGGCTTGTTCATGTCTGTCTGTCTGCCTCTCTTTCCCTAGTTCTAATTATCTGGTTGGAGAAGTGGACTTGGGGTCCCATTAGGCTCCAGCCTAAACCCCAGGGGAAAACTCATTCTACCACCAGAGCCGTGTGTCCAGCCCACTGGATACTGAGTCCTGTTCTTCTTTGGTCTGAGCGAGCATAGGGCTTCCTTGGAACCTCAGGGGAGAAGGTGTGTGCCTTAGCAGGTCAGGATTCAGGCTGTGAGATCATCACAATGGCCCCAGACCACCTTCATCCTCTAAGGACAGTATAGGGTCCTAGGGATATGAACACCCTGGAGAGCCACAGCCCCTCCTGAGTCCTTCCATTGCCTCCCCAGATTACCCATAACTCAGAGAAGTCTCTCTTAAGAGGCATTCACTTTGACCCTACATTCTCTCAGCTCCTTTCACCTCTTGAATCTGGCCAACAGAAGGAGGCCGAATTGATCACATGCCTTCCAAAGTTAGGTCTCAATCGGGCCTCTGCTCCCTGGGAACACTGCCTCCCCGTGGACAAGTATGGGATTGCAGCCCAAACTCTCCCAGATGACGAGTCCCCAACACTGGAGAGAGCCCAGAGGAGGCCCGCAGCAGAAGTGCCAGCCAGCTCACAGAATCGTGAGAAATAATAAATCCCTTTGTTTGAAACCAGTAGCTTTGAGAGGATTTTGTTACTTAACATGAGACAACTGATATGGTCCCAAACAGGAAAATTACCTTAAGAAGTTCTCAACAACTCCATGACATGAGTTTAACAACTGGAGTAGGGAGGTCTCAGCCAAAGTCTAAGCTTTGCTCAGCCTGGGATCCAGATAGGGCTGGTGTGTCTACAGCATGCATTAGTGTGCACACGCATGAAAAATCACCTGGGAAACTTAAAATGCAGATTTGACTCAAGAGATATGGGGTGGGGCCTGGGCGTCCATCTCCATTTCTAACAACTCTCAGGAGGTGCCTATGTGAGGGTGAGACTGGGATCATTGTGGTCAGCAGACCCAGCACAAGTCCATGAAATGTTTGTTTTCCATTTGAGACAAATTAAGTACAAAATTTGAAAGAAAGCATTTAGAAATGTTTATAACAGTTTGACAAGAGTAATTTTGTGCCTATTGAATCTATTCAAAACTTAAGCTTCTATTTTTTAGTCTTTTTCTCCAGTAATTTATCTAATCATATACTTTTATGTATTTATAGTAATATTGGCCTACTATGGATTGGTAGTTTGAGAAGCATGGCCCTAGAGGACATGCTGACCTGCCCGCTTGCCTGAGGGAAAGAAGCTCCCAATAAAGGAATTTACCATAGGAAAAAAAAGGTTGGGGTGGAAGATGAAGGAAATAAAAGGAGCCATTTCTGCAAAAATCTTTGGTACTTTGGGAGCCCAGGCCACTTCATGGAGCCTTCGGCATCTGTAACCCAGGATGACTCAGAGGAGTGGAGAGACAGTTTCCCCAACTTTAGAACCTGAGATTCTGGACCATCCAGGAAGGATGCCAGCAGGTCGAAGGTTCCAGGGGTTGCTATAGCAATAGAAGCCCTGGTGACATTACCAGCAGTGGTGGCCCATTTGCCCAGCCTTGACCAGCCCAGGATGGAGAGACTGTGAGAAATGGCAGCTGCTGTCCGTGGACATCTGTATTATTCCTCCCAGGGTCTTAGATATAGTTGGAGAGGGTCCTTAGAGAGGGGTGGGGCCTGGAGATCCTACCAGAGGACTGAAGGCAGAGCAAAAGAAACTCTATTCACACATTTTGTTGGGGACCCTGAGTTTTACACCTGGACTGAATGACTTAAGGAAAACCTAGTGACATTAGGATCCTCATTTTATACACAAGGGCACCAAGGCAGAGAGGTCAGGTAACTGGCCCAAAGATGCATTGGCAGTTGAGTCAGAATGGAGGCCAAAGTTTCTGAATCTAAATTTTGTGGTTCCCCCACTACACCTTCAGATCAGAAGTGGCAGCTCAAAGCTCATGATGACCTGTGGGGGTGGGGAGAAACTCAGATGTTTGTGCACTCACCGGTCTTCAGCTTGGGGAGGTGATATTGCCACAGGAAGCAGCCGGTCATGAGCACAGAGAGCAGGAAGAAGAAGCTGCAGCAAGCCGGGAAGAGCCACTTCTTTTTCACTTTCAGCAGGCTGAGCTTCTGGCCAGCCTGGAAGGGCAAGGACACAGGCCACTGTCCCCATGGGGGTCATCCAGATAGAAGAGAGAGGGAGACCCCTATGCTGGCTCCCCTCCTATGCCTTAGGTTTGCCCAGACACCATGAGAGCCGAGAATTTGGGGTAAATTTCACACTGGTAAAACCAAGGTCCTTCCTAATACAACTCCTTCAACAACTTTGCCATGCATATACCTCTGCACCTCTGTGACTTTGCATAGCCTGTTCTGCTGGGCATGCCCTTCCTCTCCTAAGTACTTAGTGAAGCATCTAAAACCAGTCCAAATGCCACCCCCTCCATGCTTTCCCCAACTCTCCTCTCCTAGGTCTGCTCAAAGGCATGTGGTACAAGCCTCTGTTAGGGTACAAACCCAGCTCACTCTCTTGTACAACAGTTGTTCTCCCACTATCAGCTGATCTACCCAGTGCAGTGTGAGTTCTCCAAGGGCAGCTCCACTTCACTTTCTCTCCTCTGTGGCATCCAGCTGATCCTGGGAGCCAAATGCATGTTTGTGGAGTGAGTGTGTGGGTCCTAAGAACATAGAGCAAGCTTCCCAGGAGACCCACTTCCCTTCATTCTTCTCCACACACCCACTTTCCAGAACATCCCCCAATTTTTGTTCTTGAACCCAGGAGAGGGCACCCAGGAGGCATGTGTAAAGCTCCCCAAATGTGGTGGCTTTTTTGCAACTGGTTCTAGAAGGGCAGTCACATCACCATGTCCCCTAGTGTTGCTCCACAAAAGTGAGTATAAAAACCATTACAATGAAAAAGGATCTGTTTGGAGATCTCACGGAAGGGTGGAACTCAGAGAGATGGAGGGCCTTTCCCACACATGGGGCTGAGGGAGCGCAGCTTGAGAGATGGGTGAGGGAGACAGTAAGAGATGAAGACAGCAAGTCCTGAAGCCTGACAGAGGGAGGACGAAGAAACCAAGTGGGCAGTGGCAAGGTGGCCACAGAGAGAATGTGTGTGGTGACCTAGCCCCTAGGAAGAATGTTGTGTTCCCTCTCAGCCAACTGAGAATTGTGGAAACAAAGTACCACCTCCAGTTAGTGTCCCAGAGACTGTGCTAAGTCTTTAAGGAGGAGTGCCACGGCACACTATGTGGTAGGCACTGTTAGTGCCCTGATGTTACATATGAGGCTCAGAGAGGTTAAGTGACTTGTCCAAGGTCACACAGTTAGTTGCAGAGCTAGGATTTGAACCCAAAGCCCAGTCTCTGACCTACTCAGCCAAAGTTCTGAAAAACTCTTCAAGATCATCTGTTGAGAGTTCTCATTTCCAAGTGAGCAAGCAGATTAAAGTCACAGGAAGAAAAGGACCTGTCTAAAAACTAATAACCATCATGTGTTGCATGCCAGCTTACACCTGGCCAAGTCACTCCTTAACAGGTATTATCTTACTACACTTCACAGCCAATCCAATGAAGTTGGTTTGGGAACCTTCATTTTAGAGATAATGAAATGGGGCTCAGAGAGGTTAAGTGACTCACTCAAGGTCACAGAGCAAGATGGTGGCAAAGCTGGGATTCAAATCAACCTGCCTGATTCTCAGCCCTGATGTCTTAATGTGTCCTATTTCTCTTCTGAACTGTCTTCATTGTCCCTGTGACCTAAACTATGATGTGATCAGGACTCTTCCCTGGTCTCTCCTAATCTTCCTCTGTCCTTCCCAGAGGGCCTGCAGAGCAACAGAACTGGGAAGGAATTCAAGATGCAGGACCCTCACCCATGAGACTGAGACTGAGATCTAGACTTTTCCATTTCACTTATTCATCCTTTCAACAACTCTTCATTAAGCACCTACTATATGCCAGACACAGTTCTAGGCTCAGCAGATTCAGTAGCAAGCCAGTGTCAGAATCCCTGCCCATAGGGAGCTGGCATGCTGCTGTCTGAGGCCTGTCTCTCTTGGCTGGTCCCCTTCTGCACACATCTCCCTGCTGAGGCTGGGGGCTGACCTGTGGGTAGGGGCTTGGTAAGGATGTTCTGTGACTGGGTGAACACAGCACAACTTGCCGAAGAGTAGAAACAGCAAGCTGCTGGAAAACTGGGCCTTGAACTTGGGCCTCTGGAATCTTCAGTCAGAGAAGACAGCCTTGCAAAGAGAAACCCAACTTCAAATCCAGGATTCACCACCCTAAGACCCATAAAACCTTGGGCAACTCTCAGGATGGTACAACATTGGAAAATCCATCAACATCATCCACCACATCAACAAAAAGAAGGACAAAAGCCTCATGATCATCTCCATAAATGCTGAAAAAGAATTTGACAAAATTCAACATCCATTCATGATAAAAACTCAACAAAATAGCTATAGAGGGCAAGTACCTAAACATAATAAAGGCCATATATGACAGACCCACAGCCAACATCATACTTAACAGCAAGAAGCTGAAAGCTTTTCACCTAAGATTGGGAATAAGACAGGGATGCCCACTCTCCCCACTGTTACTCAACATAGTACTGGAGGTCCTAGCCACGGCAATCAGACAAAACAAAGAAATACAAGGCATCCAGATTGGTAAAGAAGAAGTCAAACTGTCACTATTTGCAGATGACATGATATTGTACATAAAAAACCCTAAAGAATCCACTCCAAAACTACTAGAACTAATATCTGAATTCAGCAAAGTTGCAGGACACAAAATTAATACACAGAAATCTGTGCTTTTCTATACACTAATGATGAACTAGCAGAAAGAAAAATCAGGAAAACAATTACATTCACAATTACATCAAAAAGAATAAAATGCCTAGGAATAAACCTAACCAAGGAAGTGAAAGACCTATACCCTGAAAACTACAAGACACTCTTAAGAGAAATTAAAGAGGACACTAACAAATGGAAACTCATCCCATGCTCTTGGCTAGGAAGAATTAATATTGTCAAAATGGCCATCCTGCCTAAAGCAATCTGCAGATTCAATACAATCCCTGTCAAAATACCAACATCATTCTTCAATGAACTGGAACAAATAGTGTTAAAATTCATATGGAACCACAAAAGACTCCGAAAAACCAAAGCAATCCTGAGAAGAAACAATAAAGCTGGGGGGATTATGCTCCCCAACTTCAAGCTCTACTACAAAGCCACAGTAATCAAGACAATTTGGTACTGGCACAGAACAGACCCACAGACCAGTGGAACAGAACAGAGAGTCCAGACATTAACCCAAACATATGGTCAATTAATACACGATAAAGGAGCCACAGATATTGGGGAAATGACAGCCTCTTCAACAGCCGGTGTTGGCAAAACTGGACAGCTACATATAAGATAATGAAACTGGATCATTGTCTAACCCTGTACACAAAAGTAAATTTGAAGTGGATCAAAGACCTGAATCTAAGTCATGAAACCATAAAACTCTTAGGAAAAAACATAGGCAAAAATCTCTTGGACATAAACATGAGCAACTTCTTCATGAACGTATCTCCCTGGGCAAGGGAAACAAAAGCAAAAATGGACAAGTGGGACTATATCAAGCTGAAAACCTTCTGTACAGCCAAGAACACTGTCAATAAAACAAAAAGGCATCCTACAGTATGGGAGAATATATTCATAAATGACATATCGATAAAGGGTTGACATCCAAAATATATAAAGAGCTCACACACCTCAACAAACAAAAAGCAAATACGCCAATTAAAAAATGGGCAGAGGATCTGAACAGAAACTTCTCCAAAGAAGAAATTCAGATGGCCAACAGACACATGAAAAGGTGCTCCACATCGCTAATCATCAGAGAAATGCAAATTAAAAGCACAATGAGATATCACCTCACACCAGTTCGGATGGCCGCCATCCAAAAGACAAACAACAACAAATGTCGGCAAGGATGTGGAGAAAGGGGAACCCTCCTACACTGGTGGTGGGAATGTAAATTAATCCAGCCATTGTGGAA